GCAGGACTTAGGAGAGAGCCACCCAGCAAGCTGGCCCAGGGGCTAAGTCAGTCGCAGGGTTTGCCTTTGCCTAGGAGGCCCCTCAGGCTGGTGTGAGGAAGGCATGCCAGCTTCTGCTGCCAGCCTTGCACTCAGCCACCTCCACCTCCCCAGCCTGAACAGCCAGCTGGGTCAATGGCAGTGGGATAGGGGGGCAGCCTCTACCATTAGTCTAGAGCAGGACCAAGCTCACATCTCTGGAGCCAGACACCTTCACTTCTCTGATCAGGTCCCCTTCCACTGACCACATACCCTGGAACAGCAGCACACGTGAAACCCTCCCCTTCGCCCTGCTACCCACTGAGCATTGCTCGGCCCTCCACCGGCTGACACTCCCAGCCCTGTGAGGCAGGAACAATGTGGGCTCTGTGCAAGGGTTCGCCTGGTGACAGGAGTCATCATGCACACACTTGGTCAGCGTCAACACCATGGCTGGCACCCAGCTCTGCACAGCACGTAGGGCCCAGTTCTCACTCACCCTGCACCTGGCATTGCCCTTGCAAAACACCTCAGCATGGAGTCAATAGTGCTTTGTACCCACACTGCCCTGGGGGAAGCAGAGTGCTTCCAGGGTGGATGTGTGATAGAGGATGTATATATATCACTCTTTCTATATATATAAAAATATATTTTAATTTTAAAAAAATCTCTGTGAGGCTCCATTTTCAGCTTAGGATGCATGAGCCCACCAGGGCCCTGGATATTCCCTGGGTTGCTAACTTGTCTCTGCTGCTTCTTCCCTGCCATTGCCACCCTCACTAGCTGGATTAGAGCTAGTGCATGTCTCCCATCACACCCCAGACAGCTGCACACACATGTCACTAATGCAGCATGGCAGCCCCTTTGGGAGGAGCCCATGGACAAACCCACACATGCAGGTGCATCTGTGCTACATTGGCCAGAGAGATCTCAGCTTGATCTGGCTCAGCCGGCACAGGCTGACAGGTGCCCACAAGGGAAGGACCTAGGGCACCATTTACCAGGTGTAAAACGGAGGCTGAGCTTCTTCCACTGGCTTCTAAAGGGAGGAACTGAAGAAATGTAAAAAAAAAACGTGTGGGGAGAGCCTGACAGAGGGCAGAGGGGCCAGCTGGCATCAGCCCACAGCTCTGGCTTTGCACCTGTCACCTCTGACCGCATCCTCCCACAGAGCACTTTATGCATGTGAGTGTCACCAGTCCTGGACCAATCTGCCAGCACACCGCTAACACTCGTGCATCACAGAGCACACTGCTGACACATGAGAGATCACATGTTGCCTCCTGCCAGCAGACGAGAGCCCTGGGATGAAGGGAGCAGGGAATAGGGAGTCCTAGCTCTGACTGGCCAGAAAAACTGGGATTTAGCTGTTGCTAGGCCATTGCAGAGAGCTGTGCAGTTTCCTGGGACACAGCCAACCCAATAGGCCCCCTGGAGGGAGCCCAGCTGGCTGACAGCCCCTCCCCCATGTTTATCAAGGCCCCAGCTGCCAGGGGGATCGCATGTGCACTGGGCTTGCTCCGGCTGCATGATGCTGCTGTGCACATCAAGCTGACGGCTGCTTATTAAATTCTTCCAGCTCCGTGCCCAAGGCAGCCACACTGCTAACACAGCCCGGGCCTGCTCTTGTGGGGAGCGGCACTCAGGCAGGCTGACATGAGGAAAGGGAGCCCAAGCAACGAGGTGGCGCAGAGGCATGTTGGGATGGGGAGAGGAGTCACTGGCACATGGGGCTCAAGAGGCTACAGAGGGGATGTGCTGTGTGCTCCCTGCACGCCAGTGTGGCATGGTGGGGGGATGCCATGCTCCGCAGGGGAACTAAGCAGGGCACAGAGAGCGGAGCACTACCTGTCGTGGGGGGTGAGGCTCCTGGTAGCTGGGCAGGATCTTGAGGATGACGCTGCCGCTGGCGTTCTTCAGCATCTCCTGCAGCACCTTGGGGTCGTTGCCCACTTCCTTGCCGTTCACCTCCTTGATGACATCGCCCACATGCAGCAGGCCCTGCTGGTCGATCATGCCGCCATGCAGGATGCGGGCAATCACCAGCTCACCCCGCTCCACTCGGAATGTCACACCCTGTGGCGGGTGGGAAGGGGGCAGGCATCAGCGCCAGGCACTGCCACAGCCAAACCTACTCCATGGTCTCCCCAGTCTCAGGGGAGGGCCTCACCCACTCTCCCAAGCCTCACAAGAGGGCTCTGCCCACAGGGGTAGGAAAAGTGGGGGAGAGCCAGGGGAGGGCAGGCCAAGGGACTGGTCCCCAGGGTCCTGGTGCTGTGCAAGGGTGAAGCCTGTGAGAAGGGCACAAACCCTCCTTCCAAACACACCATCCCATACACCCCCACCATCCTATATACCCCCCACACCATCTCATACACCCCCTGCTGTCCCATAAACACCCCCCTTCACATGCCTACCCACATCAAGCATCACTTACAAGGTCCACGCTTCATCCTCCCTTGATATATGCACCATGGGCTCCCCTCAAGCCCCACTGCCAACACACAGTGCTTTGCCACCATGCCCCGTGATTCCTCCCCACACACTCCTGGTCCTACCCTACGATCACCACCACTCCCTCACCCCTACATGCCCCCACCTGCTCCCTGGACATGCGGCAGTGATGACACTGGTCTCCAAGCAGCAGAGGTGACCAGGTTGTGTGGGGTGTGCCAATTAACAGAGCTACAAAGTAGGACTCCTGTTGAGGGGAGAAGGGGAGCAGGCCGCTCCCAGGCAGCTGGGCTAGCATAAAGGTGGAGGTAGGGGTAGAGGCCAAGCCCAAGCTGGGCTGCCACATCTCCACAGGTCCGGTAGCACCCAGGAGTTTCGTCTCTGCCAAACATACGTGCCCCAGGCACACTCCTCCCACCCTGCCCCACCAGTGGCCAGCTCACCAGGTGCTCCCCAGCAGTCTTGCGGATCCCCACCATGCGCACAGCATCCGGCGGCACCGGCTGGTTGCTGAACGTGGGGTCCAGGATGGGGCTGGGTGGGGGCGTCTCGTAGCTCTTGGAGGCCACTGAGTCGTGGGTTTCCAGTAGGGACTAGGAGCCCAGCACAAGGGGAGGAAGAGGCAGGGAGATATTAGGAGTACAGAAGAGGCTGCAGCAGCCATGCACAGAGCCCAAGGTGCCAGGAAGGGGCAGCCCAACTGCCCAATCCTAGTCAGCGTGGCATAGACCAGATCCCCATCCGATCCCTGCCAGCGCACCATGGACTAGATCCCCAGCATGGAACAGGCCAGATCCATGTAAGCACAGCACAGCACAGCACAGCACAGGCCAGACCCCAGACAGTGCAAACCAGATTGGATCCCAACCGAGGAAGCACCAACCCGGTCCCAGTCAGACTGGCTCCAGTATGGCCAGACCCCTGGCCCACTCTGCAGATAATCTAGCTGCCCTCCCCAGGTGGCTGCCTGGGGCTTCCTGTTCCCATGGCCCAACTGGGACCCCCAGAGCCATCACACAAGCACCCAGAAAACAGCAGAGTTCCCGCCCCAAGCCACTGTGTGCCTCCCCACCCCCAGCCCCCACCCCAGGTTGCACCTGGAAGTGGGGCTCCTGCAGGATGTGAGCAAGCTCAGCAGCCACGCTGTTCTGCTCAGCAAGGTGGGCAATGTCCTTGAGAATCTCCTGCACCAGCTCCACGTTGTTGTCCCGCACGGCCTCCAGCCTGGTCTCCTCCAGCCGCTCGTGTGCCTGCCAGGATGGGAGGGGGATTAGAGCCAGCCAGACAGCCCCAGGCAGCCCCTCCTCCCAAAGCCCCAACTGGTGCAAGCTGACCATGCCAAGCCTTGCTGAGGGGGTTTGGGGGGGGAACCCAGCACCTGCCCCCTGGTTGGCATGGGGCAGGGGCTGGGGCTAACCCCTGCCTGCAGCACCCTGAGCCCCAGCTCTGTAGCTGTGCTGGGGGGGAATGCCGCCTCCCCAAAGAACCTCTGTAGATGGGAGTCTCCTTGCTTACCACATGCTCCCCAAGCCATGTCCCCTCCTGCAGCCACAAGCACCACCCTGGGAGAGGTCTGGGGGGATAGGTAGAGGCATGGCACGGGTGAGGGTTATAACAGGGCAGAAACCACACTCTTCTGTCCCCTGTGCCTTCTGACACGTCCCTTTAATGGGGCAGCTTCTTGTTTAAACTGCCCCACCCCCAACCAGCCTATCTCATCCTCCAGAGTCCCCCCATCCCTCCCCCTCCCCAAGAAGGCCCCTTGCAGCCACAGCTCTGGAACAGCCCAGCAAAACAGCCCCTCATCAACCCCATTCCCTGGTGCTCTGCTCTGGCTGTTGGCTGCTAAGGACACCAGGATGGACAAGGATGGAGGCTGTTGCCTGCACCCCTAGGGGAGAGGAGCACTAAAAAGTGCTAAAAATAATACTGTCACACACAGGCTCACTCCCACGCACCAGAGCCTGCACGCAGGCAGCAAAAGACACAATGGTGCCAGCATATAAGCAGGCACACACACAGGCAGACAGACACTTACAAACACCCTGTTTACTGGAGCCAGCATATTCACACACATGCACACACCCAAAGGAATCAGCATAAAGACAGTCACACCACACACACAGCCCCCTATACAGCAGGACCGGTATATAGGTGGGCATACAAGTGTACATATGATGCATAGACACACACCCTTATACAGTAAAACCAACATACAGGTGGACACCTACACATACATGATGGAGTCAGCAAACAGATGGACCTATACACACACACACACACTCACACATACATAGTGTCTACACAACGGAGCTGATATACAGCTGGATGTTAACAAAATGGAGGCACAGCACAGTTAAGTGCATGCATGCACATACTGAAGTATGTGCTGAAGTATGTGCTTCACATACTGAAGTATGTGCATGCACATGCACACAAAGCACCCAGCATGAATTTTCACAAGCATACAATGTAACTGATTCACACACGTGTAAGTGAGCTCATTGCAGCACATACCACTGCAGACAATCACTAAAGCACAACCTGCAACACACAAGCTAACATGTTCAGATACGGGATACACCTAAGCTGAGATGTATGTGTGTGCAAGTGTGCACAAACTATTATCTAGACATATACATAATCACACTTGCTACACGCACACTTCCACAGCATCTGTCCATAAACTTCTCCCACACCCATTCATACCTATTTACTATCTCCTTTGTATGCATCCACTACATATACTGTACATCCACATCCAGCTCCAGAATGACATTCACACTCTTCACACATGCCCAAGATGAGTCACGTGCATTCACACATCACACATGTATCAACACAAGACGCCCCACAGTTTGGACATTTTGCAAGTGTTTTTCAGCCTAAAGCACTTGGCAAAGCAGATTTAGGGTCCCCAGCTAAGGGCAGAGGCACTGCAAAGTAATATGTAGAGCCATAGCAGACATGCCATATTCAACCTCTACCCCTCGCTGGCCCAGCAGAGCCCAACCTGGTAGCAGCTGCCCCACCCAAGCCACAAGCACGGAGAAGCAAGGCCAGATCCTAGCTTAGCAGGGAACAGAAGAGAGAGCGAAGCAAGCGGGGATGCCTGGAGCAGGAGGGAGGTGGGGAGGACAGCTGGGGTGCTGCCCAGGAGTCTGGAAAGCAGGTTCGACTCAGCCGTTGTGCCATCCGCAGCCACCCCATGCGACTGTACCTTAGCCAAGGATCTTACTATTGGACTCTCCATGATGCCTCGGAGGAAGATGAGGTCCAAGTCAGCCGCCCCCGTGGAGTTGGGGAGGTCACTCAGGTTGTCCAGGACATGCTGCATTGCTGGGGAGGGTGCAGGGGGCAGGAAAGGGCCGTTGTAAGCGAGAAGGAATCCCGGGTGGGGGGGTGGAAGTACAGCGAGGGGAGCACAGGATGGGAAGAAATGGAGAACAGTAAAAAAGAAAGCAGCCCCATGGGCAGAGATCAGACACAGCTTCAAAGTAGAGTGTTTGCAGAAGAGGCCTTTGGCCCACTGAGGCACACTCTGCCTGCCCGTGTGCCTCCACCAGCCCCCAAGCATTTCCCCTGCCTCAGGCATTCCCTGCCACCCAGCACAGTCTCTCATGGCCTCTTCCACCCCCAGCCTGGCATGAACTCAGGCTGGCCTTTGCATGAAAGATCTGCCTCCAGGCTGCACAGGTCCCTTCCCAGGGGCTTCTCCAGGAGGGCAACAGGGCAGGGAGTGGGGGTGGTGGGTCACTGACAGCCCATCACCTGCAGATGACTGCCCCTCCCCACTGCAGCCAAGAGCCAGGTGCAGGGTCACCCAGGGCTGGGTGCTGACACATGGGGATCCTCAGCAAAGGGCCATTGGTGTCACTGCAATTAACCACTTCACAGTCATGGGCCCACTCATCCTCTGCCCCGCCCCCTCTCTCCGAGCAGAGAGCTCCTTGCCCAATCAGTGGCAAGAGTTTTCCCACCACCGTGCCACCCAATCAGAGAGCAGCAAAAAGGTGTAGGTCTTTTCCCCTGCTTAAAGAAACAGATGTCAGAATGGTTTCTGACACACTGTGCCACACTGTGGCTGTGTGTTTGGCATAGGATACAAGGCTCTTAAAGGGACAGGTGGCAGGGGAGAGCTTGTCTAGGGCTGGAGCTGAAAAGGCGGTGCGTCTGGGTAGGAGATTTGGACACAACCCGAGGCTGGTCCAGACCCGGATCTGAACTTCCCCAGAATGTTGTGCCCAGGGACCAGCTGCAAATGTGAGACGTGGCCTGCAATCTCCCAGCATTCAGAGGGGGAGTCACCCCTTTGCCACCAGCGGGGACCAAAATGCACCTTCCCCCCTCTCCTGCAGCATGAGAAGAAAGGCAGCTCCACGGTTAGGGAACTAGCCTGCAGTTTGGCTGGCATGGGTTCAAGTCTCTGCTCTGTTACAGCCTTCCCATGTGACCTTGAGCAAGTCACTTTGCTGCTCCGAGCCTCTGTTCCTCCTTAGTGAGGATAACAGCCTTTCCTGCACCATGGGGGAGCTGGGAGGAGGAACACATTAACAGTGGCAAGATGCACAGTCTATGATGATGGGGGCAGCTCAGAGAGACACCTGCACTGCTGGATTGGAGTGTGGTGCCCCAATGGGCTCCCCACCTAAGCACATATAACAGCCTTCAAGCTGCTGGCAAACTTCCTTTGAAGAAAGGCAATGGCAGAAGAATGGTCCCCTGGCCTCTGCATGGTCCTACATCCTAGTGAAAGGCTTGTGGGGTAAGAGGGCTACTCAACACAGCTCACAAAGACACTCATGGACCCAGAGGGACAGACTTCCATCTTCAGCTCCCTCTGTGCAAAAATGAAGTTTATTTCCTACCTACGGGGACTTTTTACCATCTTGTACCATCTACACATTTGCCAGAGCCTGACGAAGGGACTTTGATCCTGAAAGCTTGCAGAAAAGGACAATTTTCTTGCCATCTTCCAGTTGCATCTAATAAAAGGTATCATTTTGGAACCAAGAGTTCTAGTTTTCTGTATGTCTTTTTGTGGGATAAGAGGCTGGTCTAATATTACATTCACTGGTACTAATAGCTGCTGTCTGGTACAGGAAAAAATAACCTGGGAATGCTGAAGAGGCAATCAGGGCTTGGGGGATGCCATCACAGACTAGAAAAAGGGAGATCCTGTAAGGATGGGGAGATTGTAAGGGGCTTGAGGTCACCTCTCTAGGTTTGTGGGGATGGTGGAGGAACCCCAGCTGTACCTGTGGGCTCAGCCCCCCAATTGCAAAGAGTCAAGCGAGAGAGGAGGAAGAACATGCACAGTTGTGTCTGTCATGGTGCTGGGCCTGGTCTAGCAGCCCCCACTCTTCCAGCCAAGCTCATTAACAAGTGCAGTGATGCAGAGATTTGGCTTCTAGCCACCAAGCACAGCAGGGAGGAGGGGGCAGCCAGGCTGGCCGGGAGCACAGGGAGGCTGTTTACTGGGCTGCATGGGGTGGGTCATGAGTCCAACACTGCCTCATGCTCTTGGCAGGGCAGGGATTAGAGAGGCACAACATTGGGGTACATGGCAGCAACCAGGAGCTTCTCCTAACAGCCCCTGCAGAAGGCTGAGGGAGTGGGGGATCCATGGGCTATGTCAACGGTAAGAGATGGGGGATGCAATGAGAAAAGCAGAGCTGAAGCTGCAACAAGGGGTATACAAGGACAGGGAGCAGGAGTGGGGACTCAGTGCAGGTAGGGAGGGGGGTGGGTCTGTTCCCAAACTTACTCTGCTTAGCACAGGTTGTGGGTCATGGCTGTGAACAGAGACAATGTAGGCAAGTGGTTAGAGCCCTGGGCTGGAGTGCCAGATACCTGGATTCTATGCCCGCCCCTGCCACTGGCCTACCGGGTGACCTTAGGCATGTCACTCCCTCCCTGCCCTCCCCCAGTCAAGTTCTTTAGAGCAGGAACAGTCTCTCCCTGGGGGTTTGCAGCACTCACAGTTGGGCCCAGCCCTCTCAGTTGCTATGGTAATGTAAAAAAACCAGTAATGTCACTGGTAGCTGGAGAGGATGTGTTTGAACACAAGTGCATGTACCATTGTGGGGGGGCACAAGTAATGTTAGGAACACGTGGCTGGACACCACAACTATGTACGTACAGCACAAGTGTGCACTATGTGCAAGCACAGAGGTGTGCGCTTATGCCCTAGGGGGTAGGATTTGTACACGTACAGGGCTTTGTACAGTGGGCCCCTGCCATGCGAGTAGGCACTCCTCCCATACCAGCATGCAGGGACATTTGAGCACACACATGAGAGCTTAACCCCATGCTCAACTGTCTCTAAGCACGTGCACCCATGCCCAAATGTGGAAGTACAAGGACAAGCATCACCTCCCTGTACCAGCTCTGTACATATACATGGGGACAAGCACGTACAGGCAAGAAAGTGTTGTTTATGGAGCCTCTGGGCATGGTCATAGCCCACCTGCAAGGGTGTAAGCACATGCCATGAACTATGCAGGTTGAAAGCCCTTTCATTAGAGCCCAGAAGGGAAGCAAAGTAGAAATGGGAGGGAAATGAGCCCTGCCCTTCCCTGCAGGTTTCTGGAAGCTAGGAAGCAACCTGTGCCCCTCCCCCTCTCACCCCCAAAAAGGCCCCAGAGCAGCCCCTGCCTCCTCTGCCTGCTATGACAAAGGCAAGAACTTTTCCCTCTGCTTCCTGCAGAACTGGCACCATGTCCCAGAAGCCTCTATACTGGGACAGTGCCTCAGGACCCCAGTCCGGCCCCAGGAGCCCACAGTGCCGGGTGTTGCACAAAGCCTGAACAAATGGACAGTCCCTGCACTAGAAACCTTAGGCGTCATGGATGGGAAAAGTAGCTGAGTTGTTCTGCTGAGTCCAGAGGCTCTTAGTGGCAGTCCCGGAACCAGCCCCCTGCATGTGTGGATCCCAGCTGGATTTTGCAAAGAGCAGCAAGCACCTAGTTCCCAGGAACTTTAACCAGGTCCTGGGCTCAACACCAAAGCAATCATTTGATACCATAGGGGACAGCTGCAGCCACACAACATGCTGACAGGGCTCTGGCAGAGACTGGCAGACAATGTGGGCATCCAAGCCTGCTCTAAGGCAGATCTAAGGCACTCAGAGTCTGAATGCTGCCATGCCATCCTTGTACCATGGCTGGAGGGAGCTGGGAATGGGTACTACCCTGCCCCTCAGCTGCTACAGCGGCAGTATGGAAAAAGTGGGAGCGCTTGTCTACATTAAGGAGTTTTGCACTGATATGCAACGAGTGTATCCTCCATGGAAGCACACTGCTCCAAAGCAATGGGAAATCACATTCACACATGCCTTGCTTTACCTTGGCACAATGCACTTGGACTAGTATGAGCAAAAGCGTTATGACAAACAGATTGAAAAGCAAGGCCCTAGCATTCAGCTCAACGCTTGCTATGAAAGGGTTATCTCCAACCACAGCACCCAGGGGTAGTTCCTGAAGAAGCCTCTGGTTCAGCTGTTCTGCAGGGGTCTCAGATAGGCTAGTGGGTCCCAGTCCTGCCAGGGGCCCATTCCCCTCTGCAGAACCCCAACCCCTACTCTGCAATTGCTCCACATCACATTGCTCTGCAAATATACCTCCATGCTTGTCCAGTCCAGGGCTGCTCAGTGCCTGGCACAGCCCATGCCCCTCAATCCCAACTTACAGCATCCCCCTGCTGGACCATCCCCCAGATCAGCTGCTGCCCAGCCATGCCCAGCCATCCAGCTAGCTCAGGCCCAGAAATGGCTGATCTGCAGCCCCTACTGCTAACCTATCAGTGCAATGGATTTTATAACAAAACTCCCTTGCTCCAGGCTTGAAATGCCAAACCTCATGACACATGGATCCTCAAAAGATGACAAGCCCAGATCCCCCTTGGGAAAAGACCCAAGGAAAAAGTAACCCTGCTCCCTCTGTCAAGATGCCCTCTTAAGAGCCTGACTCCGGGTGGGGATGCCAGCCCTTCTTGACCCACAGAGAACCTGGGTGGATCAGATATGTCTGCTCCTGGCACTGACTCTTGCCTTTTAAAAGCCACCGTCAAAACACAACAACACATCAATTTGGGACCCCCACTCCACGGTGAGGCAGGAACAACCACGCTGGATTAACCCCAGGCACCCTGGCACTTCTGAAATTGCAAGGAATACAGCTATAGGAGTCAATGGGGACATGCACATCCTGCCTCTCAGAGAAGCCCCCCTGGTCCCATTTGCTCCAGGCACAGGTGAGCAGCTCATTCCTATTGCTCTTCTTCAGCTCCTCTCTTTGACAGAACTGCTTAAAGAAAACCGCAATTAAAATCCAACTTTT